CCCTGAGCGCAATCACAAGTATGATGATGATCGGGTCAGTCGCACTGGTGCTCCTAAAAACATTTTCATAGTCGCATGCAGTAGTTTTCAGTCGCAAATTACTGTAAAGGCCCCAAATGTTTTTTTTTTTTAGTTTTTTTTTTTTATTAACATAAAATTTTTTAAGGTGTTTCTGATTGTTGTAACAAATGTAGTGTATATATTTTTAATGTAATAAGAAAATACAATAATAATACAGTGATTATTTAAATAAACTCTGCTACAATATATTTATTTATTTAATCTAGAGGTGTGAATATATATAATAATACATATGTAAGTAACATAAAAATAAAAAAGTATATAATTATTTATCTTTTTATTATTATTAATATTAAATTTGTAGTTTTATAAATATATTAAGGAATTATTATAATTTCATCTTTATTCATTGAATTATTTTTATTATTATTATTTGCAATTATATATTTAAAGATTAATTAAAATGTTTGTGTATATACAATTATTAAATGTTAATAAAGTATATATTTTATGATTTAATGTTTATTTACATGTATTTGATATATGTTTTTGTAATTATTATTAATTAATCTATTAATTTTTCTGCTGACAACTTAGGCTGCGGGATGAGTAATATAAAAATAAAAAGTATATAATTTATCTTATTTATTTTTCATTTATTCCTAATATACTTTGGGAATCAAGAATTATCATTATTTCATCTTTATTCATTTAAATAAAATTAATATGTAATTATATATTTTAAGATTAATGAAAATTTAATGAATTAATGAATTAATGTTATACTAAAACTCTTAAGATAACCTATAGAAAGAAAAAAACATCTTAAGCACGCAGAATAATGGAAGTGGACTTTTTTTTTTTTTTTTGTAATTGCCGCTTTGAACGATTACGTAATTGTGGCATGCGTAATTGTAATCATGATTAGAAGTTCGATTAATTGTGCATCCCTATACCAGCCTATAATGACTTGGTTACACTCAAATCCTGCTGGATAAAATCTAGTCCCACATGATTTCCTGTGAAATATTTTCATCACATTGCTGGTGTTCGGATCATCAGAAACTCTCTCATATGAGGTTGAGTTGTTGAGGCAGCAGAATGCTGATGATCGGCGCCCTCTGCTGGCTCTCTGTCACAGCATTATTGTGCTGGATTCTCTGCAGTTTTGTCTTGTATTATTCTTGTTAGCTGTTTCCAATTGGAAACAAGATCATATTACAAATATGTGTTGACACAAAAAAAGATCCAGTGGACCTGAAGTGGACAGACTTTGATTCTCTTCCAGACGTTTTTTGTCTTGTTTTTAAGCATTTGGCAGATTCTTTAATCCACAGTGACTCAAAGTGCATTGAAGCTGTGTAGTTCATGTGTGATGTGTGTTTTCGGTCAGGATGCGAGTGCTCAGCCGCGGCCCACAGCGCAGGATCTGGCCGGGTTCTGGGATCTGCTGCAGCTCTCCATCGAGGACATCAGCATGAAGTTTGACGAGCTCCACCTCCTCAGGTCCAACGACTGGAAGATGTCTGAGACACAGGACAAAAAGGTCCAACTGCCAAACCTTTCTAGCATCCTAACATGCAGGGCTTAAAGTTCTCCGGCATGCAGCGTTTGGCTGTGGAAAAAAATAATCCTACATTTAAAAAAAAATCTTGTTGATTGATATCACTTTCGAGTCCATGAGTTCGCCTACCAATGGTATGAGAGGATCACAGCTTTCACTCTCAACCAAACTAACATTACTAGCCAATCAGAATGTTTTGCTCTTATAAACACGAGACGCGTATAATAGTATCCAACTGCGGAGTCGCAGCCCTGATGAATGGAGAAGCGCAACAAAAAGCTGCGAGGCGCAATGGTCAAAGATGTCCATCTAGCGCATATTTACATAGAATAACTAATTAAAAAGCAGCGGAGCTTTGTAAACAGTTCAGAGTAATCATGTCATCTCCATAAAACGATATGATTGCCAGAACAAATTTACCGGGATTTTTGAAAGGGTCCTGTTCACACACAATCTCTTAACGGTAATTTTACCAGTAAAGTCTGTATTGTGTGAAAGGGGCTAAACTCTTCCTCAGCATATGCTGTGAATTTGAATAGCTTAACATTCATCTGGGAAAACAGTGTGCATTATTATCTCACTAGATTTGTAACGTAAATCATTTATAAACCTTTGCCAACACAAGAGAATACACCAACCTATTTATAAATATGCCATTTATTGTACATCACGATTTCAAAATAAAAGTTTCTGAGTTTGCATGTGGCCAAATATTAAAATTGAATGGATTTAAACATTGTTTAGTCACGCTGTAAAGTGTAACATCACCAGGCCATTGGCGCCCTCTGCAGGTATTTGTTATAATACATAATGTACTTAAGTTGGTTATGTTCATTATGTATAGGAATATTACATTGCATACATATACTTCGTAGACATCTTTAATCTCTAATAACTCCATTCTGCTGTCTGTTGTCGGTGTTTCTTTGTCTGAATATGGCGCTTATCACATGCTGTGTGGTATCGGCGTTTGGTATCGGGGCATTTTAACTAGTACGAGTACAGGAGCTCAGTATCGGGCCCAATACCGATGCCAGTATCGGTATCGGTGCATCCCTAATAGGCATATTACATTATGTATTTTAACAGTGTTGTTCAATACAATCATGTAATTTCTTGGTTTTGATATTTTATTTGAGCCAATTGTTATTGCCTCATCGTTAGTTTATATATAAATAGTCATACTAAAGCCTGGTTTTCACTTAGGTCTGTTTGTGTTACTAAAAAAATATCAGATTACTCGATTGTCAAAATAATCAGTAGATTACTTGATTACCAAAATAATCATTAGTCATGTAATTTCTTGGTTTTGATATTTTATTTGAGCCAATTGTTATTGCCTCATCGTTAGTTTATATATAAATAGTCATACTAAAGCCTGGTTTTCACTTAGGTCTGTTTGTGTTACTAAAAAAATATCAGTACTCAGTTGTCAGAATAATCAGTAGATTAATTGATTACCAAAATAATCATTAGTTACAGCCCTAGATTAGTTAAAATATTTCAAAATACAACTGCATTGTTTTACTTTTTGTAATTAAGAAAATTTCTTAAAAATAGTATTAAAATATTGTCATATTCTAGTGAACCAAGTATCTGTATTTTGTCTCATCTCGTGAGCTAAGTGTATTGTCACACCCCTAGTGTCGATAAGC